TGTCTGACGCGTCTGCCTCCGCGACCCGAAAGGAGAAGCGGCGATGGAAGATGAAGATGAAGATGAAATGATCTATGGATACGGTGTGCATAACTCCCGCCCTTTATGGTCTGTATATGCAAACAACATTCGAGCGGTGATCTTTATGTAGTATCGAGCTTGTTTTCTACACACTGTGATATTCGATTATGTGCTGCACAAAGTTGAAATACACCTAATCCTGCCAGAACGAATTTTGTTTAGAGGGGATTAATTTGATGATAAAGGGAATTAAAAGTTTGCATATAAGGTTGCATCAAGTATGAAATGAAACTCGTGTCTTTTAGTCAGGATAGCTTGGTCTGTATAGCGTTGAACTTACTGTTTGAAGATGATGAATTCAAATCTCTTTCTCTCTGCTACTCACGTTTCATCCTTTTGAGATAGGCTAATGATTAATGAATACCACTGTATGTGAAAGTAGCTTATTAGTAGTTTGCACGTTGTAGTGACCATCTTGCTGCAGATTTTACTTTCAAAGTGAAAAGTACATATGACAATCCTGGCTAATGACATCGTAATGGAAATTAGCACTGGATCATGGGCTTCATGAAAAAAGGGTGCTAAAAGTACCTCTAAACTTAAAGTGCACGGCAGATCAGCATGTAAATGGCAACGAGCTTTTTCTCGGTTGATCGACATTGCTGAAGATTGGTCGCTGATGCCACATTTTGCATACATTTGCAATGTTTACAACATACGACATAATCGAGATGCACAGCTGCGCACCTTCTAAAAGTCATAGGTCAAGGTTATATAACGTTACGCTACCTGGAAACAGCGCAAAACAACGCTATCAACTTGGCCATTCATACGATTGGCTGGTACACACGCTTCGGTCAGTGTCTCAGGGCCTTCTTCAAGATACAGAGTTGGGGTGGCTGCGGAAGTTCATTTTGTGGTTCGCAGTTGTTCTTTGGAGTCGGAAGGCAAAAAGGAAATTTTTAAGCTCACCAACCTCTCTACAGTGAAGAAAGCATGTAAGACACGGCCCGAGAAACTTGATACTAGTCAATCATCTGATTGACCAAGTTGTTTACGTTGTGTATAAATAAACCGTGTTTTGTGCTGTTTTCAGTATGACCACCACCACATGAACGGAATACTCAATTTTAAGCTGCCTGTGGGCATCTGGTCATTAAAGAACCCAGAAGGGGAAGGATAAGATTTGCGCTCACAAAATTTTTTGCAGCATAGGGTAGTAGCGTGCAGTGGGGTTCGGCTGCGATGTGATCATTTCCCTCAGTGAATATATAAGAATGCAAGTGCACGACTGTTTTAATACCAAATGTTATTTAATTCAATGTACACAACGTCGAACACAGACTCTTCTCTATTTCCTATATACCATGAACCACTGTAGGTCTTTCAGAATCTCTTTCACTCGCAATACGGAACGCGCCTGTTCACACTGTTTCTGTACTGGATACGCAGGGGCGGATTCTATTGCGATTATCCTCTCACTTCAGCGTGCCACCTGCTGGTATGTAGTACGTTATTCTCCGGTCAGTTACCATATTCTCTTTTCGCCAGGCGCACCACTTCTGTTTCAAGGCTGTTTGAGTCTGCTGCAATATGATTTACTATTACCTTCCAAAATTCAAGCCGATTCAACACCAAAATTGAAGTAACAAGTCTTCAAAACAAAAGGTCTTCCGATCCAGTGGTTTAAAGCACGAAAGAGACTAGAATAAGTTTATTTCTGCCGCCGATTCGAACACGTTGTTTATTATCATCAGGGCGCGAAATAAGCAGAAATCGAAGTCAGTCGCTATGGTAAATACCCTATTGTAAAGTACTAAGTTCGAGTTACTCACACTAAATGGTTACAGTGCGTAAAATGGAAATGCATAAAATAAACGATTCAATCAGACGGATGGATGGAGATGTCGATTCGTTGCCGGCTCTAGTAACAATTAAGTGTCTTCATTTCCTGATCCACGGTTCAAGGAAACAATTAACAAGGATAATTTAAGATCCTTTATTTACCGACACGCTTCGACTTCGCACCACAGAGCTATCATGGTAATAATATACGAATGAAAAAACACCATGTTATGAAAAACGGTTATGTAATATTTGAGTGACAGCATTCTTTCTTCCATTAATTTGTTCGAGCAAACTGGCCGATGACATTCCAGCTGTCACTCAAACTTAGAGATGAGCGTGGCTTATGAGATCAATTGCAGTGACTGCGATAAAGTCTGTGTTAGGATAACCATGCGAAATGATACAAAAGGGTTCGGAACATCTAACAGCGCTGAGGAATGGAAAATTAGAGCAGTTCTCATGCTTTCTACATGCTCTTTCAGTCTAACAAATGACACTTCTGTTGGCAATGAGAGAACAGGCATTGGACCATTAAGTAAAGAATCATCGCACACGTTGGCTAAAACGGCCTACTGCATAACGAATGTACGAACTCGTATAATTTGATTGACAGTTGGAATGCCTTCAACGAACTTATTCTTCATCTTCATCTTCCATCGCCGCTTCTCCTTTCGGATCGCGGAGGCAGACGCGTCAGACAGTGCTTCCAATGTTGCCGATCTTGTGCCAA